AAGACTGTTGCTGTTGTTGTTGCTGATTTTGTTGGTTCTGAAGTCGTGGTGGTAGTTGACTTTGATTTGGCCTTCCACCACCTCCATGCTTCATAAACTGTGGTTCAGTGGTTGGAACACCAAGTACATATTTAGGTGATTTTTGACCAGATACATTGGTCTCACTCGTAACAATTTCAAGCTGAAAATTAAAGAAAACGATTTGAAAAATACAAAAACAAGTAGAAATCAATTATAGAAAGAAATTGTTTCAGTAGACCAGTTCAATAAGATCCTCTGATGGTTTGTCTTTTAAAATAAATGAATATATACAATACCTTTCCTACCTTCTTTGATAAATCTCCACTGGCTTTTTCTGTGTTCGATGATTTCTGAGCTTGTTTCTGATATATAGTCTATAATAATAATATAATAGAAATATGAGAACATGTCATTTTCTAATAACTAGAATTGAGTTAACTGATAAGTATCAGTTTTTTGGTTTTCTTAGAACTAATAGGGATACATGTTATTACCTGCATGGCCACATTTTGTCGTACTCTTTTCTCTGTAGGCTGGGTTGTTGATCCTGAAATATTTCAATATATCATGACATAAGAAACAATTCACACAATATAGTATTTTAACCAAAAAGCTTCTTAAGTTATTGTCATTAATGATAACCACCAAAAACACTACTCGAAGTGGTCAGATAATACAAGTCAATATTTAACACTGAATATCTCAGATTTCCAAACATTTAGTAAAAAAATCATTTAAATGACTCAAAACAGGAGATGTGCCAGTGTATAAGCAGCATCAAAAGAAACTTCCAGAATTGCATCTAAATTAGCTTGTATGGTATTTGATCAGAAATCTAGAGTATTAAAAAATAACCAACCTTTGACAGTAACTGTAGAACTAAATTCATATCTCCCTGTTTTACCATTCTGACATGATAGAACTTTGATCCTAAAAAAAATTCCAGTTTTAAGGCACAAAGAAATTTCATTCTAAATCATATTTATGTTTTTCATTTAGAATTTACATAAGTGCTCAGTCAAGAAAAAGTATAATAATCAAAGATTACATGTATTTTCACAGCTTTAAGAATATGCAAAAGTATCATATTCTTAATGATATCTTTTATGAAGAAATCAGAAGAAATTTCACAAGGGACCAATCAAACATATCCCACCTTTTCCGAGAGTATAATCAATGAGAAATGGCCTCAAATATGGTATCTTTTGGATTTCAAAATGATCTTACCCTGGTAATTCTTGAGCAAATCTTTTACCATGAGCCACCAGTCTTTGGCATCTTAGTTGAGTCTCTAAAGGTGATGTTAAATTTTCTATAGGAAACTGACTATAGTTCAATCCACTGTAATATACAATATTTTATGTTAATATATAACTTGTATCTTTTATAGTTGGTTATATTTCTTTTTGTCTTTTTGCTGATTAAATACAAAAGATACATAATTAGGACCTTTTTCACTATTGAATAAACAAAAGTGTTAATATATAACTGTTATCTTCATTATTTATTTCTTGTACACGGCTATATAACTATCTGAATTATTGAATGAGATACACTTTCACAAGTGTAATATGCATGATTGTTAAATATATATAAAAGATACACAAAATAGGACCTGTATAGGTAATGATTACACAGAAATATTTGTATAATCTAAACTATTACTGTTTATCTTTTATGCAGAAAATACAAGATTATCATAATAAAAATAGGCATAGTCATACAGTCATAAATGGCAGGGCTATTCAAGCAGATAAAAGAAGTTAACACTTTCAAACTGAAAGTTTACATTGAAGAGAGTACAATATATGTTGATACCTTTGTGACTTCTCAATAGGTCTAAAACATCTCAAATCTACATCTTCTGGTAATGGTTGCTCGCTATCTACAAACAGATAACAATTTTCTTGTTGATCATGTAGTGAACAAATCTAACACATGTAACTATTTATTTGGTATAAATATATTAGTGCCGGCAATACTGTCTTGTTGATATTAGGCTAGACAACTAAACACCATCCAATGCAGGACTCATGAACATAAAACATGGCAACAGTACGCCTATTGACAACAAATTACTACTTATATTATTCTGTTAAAGTGCTAAATCTTTTATACCACATCACAATATGTATCGTTTCATTGCCCTTATATCTTGATACCATTTGGGATATTTAAACAGGTTTTAATTTTGGAATAACTATAATGAGTAAAGAAAAATAAGATTCTTACATTTAGAAATATCAACATCATTTTCTTTATCCACTGGTGATTGAATATTATTCAATAACTTGGCAAAGTGATTCCACAAGCTAAATGAAAAGATAAAAGATTCAATAAATAAAAAAATTATGATACAAAACTAAATATTCATCAAACAATTATTGGGTTTAATTGTTAATTTTTACTTAATAGCATGCAATCAATTTTGTTCAACACTACTTTAAGAAGTTAAGGGATCTTTAGTGCTGAATGACAAGGGGCCTCGGTTTATTGTCCAATCTGAATGACTATCAAATTGTCAGCTCCCTCAACTTGTCAGAGGGGAAACCCGGTTGAAAAATCTGAAGGTATTATACTTTTGACCATTAGCATGCATGCATCTACTCTATGAAATACCTGGTGTTATATCTATACAAATCTTATATATTGTTTTAAAGATATAGTAAACTTACCCAGAAGAGGCTAAGATTGGTAGATGAATGAAGTCTGTATGTAAACTTAACCAATCTAATATTATCTTAATAGCTGGTAGAGTAAAAAATTCTTTAGCTTTCAACTCTTGTTTAGGTGTATTCTGTATCAGACTCTCCAAAAAAACACCTGAATTTAATAAACAACAAAATAAACATGAATAAACAAAGTGCAAAAACTCATATTTGATTTTACTGATTTTCAATACATTTCATCCCTGGGTGATAATAAACATTTTCATCAAGTTTTGTCTAAATCTGAAAAGAATTGTGCCTTCTGGGGAGTTTAGGAGGTAAAAATTGAACACTTTTTCAAGAACTGTGCTCTGGACAGACGGACATGAGTGATGCCAAATTAAGCTCCACATTTCACGTGAGCGTATGAAAATGAATAAATAAATACTCAGCAATAGCATCATTGATCTTATTTTATTATATGATTAGAAAATGACCAATTAAAATAATATAATATTTGTTGGCAAAAGTATCAATTGGAAATAATAATTTTTCATTCAAAAAATCTGAAAACCATGCATAAACTAAAACAGTCAGATTAAAGTTAAAGTATAGTACTTACAAAGGAAAGAGAAGACAAGTTGAAAACTTTTTTCTTCATCTCTACAGAATTGTATAAGTTTGGCGGCTGGTCCTATAGGTATCTCACTGCCAGGTTCAGACTTACAGTTATGTACAGAGAATATAGTAATAGTAACAAAGTGTAGTAATAATGTAGATTGAAAACTCTGTGATGTTATATGTGATGGTAAACTTGATAATAATCTATCTCTTAAAACACCAGCTTTCGTTAAATCTGAAATATAAATTTTAAATATATACAGGCCCAAATAAAAAAACATAACTGAGAATACAATTGCTTGAATTAATATAAATGATGTGAAAAGACTTGGTTAATTAGACTGGTTAAATTCTGTTCACTCTGATGGTGTAGGAGGAGATGCATCTCCACAATCCCCATTGATAGCTAAACTTTAGCTGTTAACTTTTTAATTTACCCTAGACTTCACCAAATAAATCATAATAAAGTACATTAATAATAAAACTTACCAGCTGTTAAATGTACTAAAGAGTGAAACTGTAAAAACACACTAACAACTTCCATCATAGATAACTTTCCTTTTAAATCAACCCTATAATAACACATATACACTGTATAATAAATATATAATAACTTATTGATTTGGTAGTGAAAGCAAAGATAGAGGTGCACAACTTGGATTGATTCAAAACACAAAAATGAGTAGTCCAATTTCTTTAAGGGTAGAATAATTAGTAATCTTAACTATACAAGCTATAATCATATTAAGTAAATTATCACCTATACCACCTTAAACATAATATGCACTGCTCTCATCTGAACCAAGATATGAACAAATATCTTTGCTTAACTAATCAAATGCAACATGTATCTGGGTTGTGTCACCAAAATGATTTGTTAATCAATGACCAATACTTACACATCTTTAGCTAGTTTGGTATAGAATTTCTCTAGATTGGTTGCTGCGACTGGGAAAGGATGTCGTACATCCAGACTTCTTATATAATAAAAAACAGTCAATAACTTATTGCCCCTAGCAGCCTCTAATATAGCCATCTGATTATATGGTTGTCCTATAAATATAATATATGATTATAGTTTATAGTGAAAATAATTGAAGCATAGAGAAGGTAAAGTTTTAACAGAATAATATCACAAAAGACAATACAAATTGAAATATAAGGGAAATTTGTCTACAATAACTAATTATAATATCATAGATTTTAAAACATGCCAATCAGTGCAGACTATCTGTACCAGTATTTTATACAATTGAAATTATACAAATAATATTTTTATGGAAAAAAAAAAAAACAACCATTTTGAATTGACAACCTTGTGCAAAGGTAATTTGATTTCTTATTCTTATAAAGATACTTATATTAAAATTTATACAAACCATTTTGTGGTACAAGATTAGCAGCATGTCTATAATAGGTTTTAGCTTGATCTATTTGTTGACGATAACGTGCTGAAAATATAATTTAACAATAAAATATTCCTTTTCTACAATATAATCTCATCTATCTATAGGACCATGTTTTCCTCTGTAATTTTAAATAGATGGGTAATTTTGCTATGAACAAGTCTGGCTGCAAAATTTTCTATTCAGATAATGCTAACCAATCAATTAGCTGATTGGCTTATTGTCATAATAAAAATTGGTAACAACAAATTGTTGAGTCAGTGAAACAGATTTCATAAAGGAGCTTCTAATGAAAACAATAAGTTTAGAAGAACCAAAATTTATCAACATATAAAATATTTATAAAATTATAATACATACCTATATCTCCCAAGTGTACCAAACAATGTTGACAAATATAATAGCAAGAATTTTTAGTTGGTGAATTTATCTTTGTTTTCAGTGGACATTTTTCTACAATTATTCAATGATATATATCAAATAAGAGATGCTCTCTTTACAAATTATTTGTGATACAAATATACAAATATAAAACAACATGCTGTCCTGGGATTTAATTCCACTATCAGTTCATTTGAAGATTTTAATGAGAAAGTGATAGAAATAGAAATAGAAATGGGTTGAAATATGTTTAAAACTGAAATGCAGTCGAATATAAAAATAGCAAGCAATTCTCTTATGACTGACTGATAAAATTGAATTAACTCATGTTTATCTGCATTCATAATTCAAATCAGAATATAATTTAAATATAAAAAAACACCCCAACTGTTATTCTAAATGACATAGTAAGCAAACTTACCTTTCATAACACCAAAAGCAGCTGATTTTCTCCTAAAAGGTAGATCCAATTTAAAGGTGGTACACACTAATTGTAGAAATTGTAAATAAAATCCACTAGCATTCTCAAGAAATAGATTTAAACTGGCTTGACTCTCACCACGTTTTACATTCTACAAAAAGATATTAATAATAATCTTTATCATGGCTATCATAATTTTATATACTGTTCTTAATGACATAATATTAGTAAATATAATCACTGTTATAAATATCATATAAATTAACATGGACAGCAGTTGCCAAAGTAGAAGTAGGACTAAGATTTTCATCTGATCTGATAACATAATGCACAATGTTAACATGATAAACATGTTGGTATTTATCATGGTAATTCTTAAAAAGGTTTATATGCTTACCAGCTTATCTTTAGCCTGTGATTGTAGAACATTTATCTGATTCTTAAATGCATGATTCCATCTAAAATGATTTAATGAATATCATTGACAATTGTTTTATAAATTTGACTTAAAGACATTCATTTGTCTAAAACTCTTACATTATTTTTATACATTTTCATTCTAGCAGGCACGCCTAGCAATACATTCTGTTATGTCATATTCAAACAGGCCAATCAACTCACTTTCATTATCAATTTTCATTGTAAATTTTATTTTGTAATTATAGAAACATGCATGATAATAATACTGTAGGCAGTCAATCTAGCATAAAAAAGGTCATTTGAATGTTATTTTGATTTTTCCACTCATAAGGAGCTATTTGGATTAAGTAAATCTATGGTCTCATCTGACTGGCTCATGTACCATGCCAATACACAAAAAAAAGCATATTCACAGATTATACTACTTACAAATCTTGTTCCACTTTCTTATCCAGTGCATATTCTAAATCCATCAGGAGGATTTTTTTGTAAAGATCCTCTAGTCTTTGTCTTGTAACCCATAATTCAGAAATTCCTTTAGTAGAATCTATCATATAAATAAAAACAGCATATAAATAGTTTTTAAATTTTATTTTATATTATTAATAATTAATAATTATTAATTATTAAATAAGTTACAAAGTAATGCATACATAATAATTTCCAATATCACATCTAGTCAGATTTTATCATACCTTGAGATGCATGAATAATTTGTTTTTTTATAATTGAATTAAATTAAAACAGCATTATAACAGCTTACCCGATACTGTAACTTTTAGAGTATCTGCTTGCCTGAAAAATAAGCAATAAAAATTAATTTCTAAAATCAAGGTCTGCTTTATTAGTCCCCAAAATTGGGCCGGTTAGCATAGGTGACAGTTATAGAATGTTTTCTATCTCACAATTACGAGGTTTTAGTACCTGTCACATTCTTTTCACAGTCGCCCAAATACTATACACTTGATGGACACATTTGATTTGATTGTCAATCTCGCCATGTTTGATGTGTTCAGGAAATGACTGAAAACTTTGGGTGCCAAAATGAGTCCATGCACATGGAAATGCATAACAAAACCTACGAAATCTAAGTATTCAAAAGAGCTGTTTTATGACTCATTGTCAAATAATCTAGTTAATTGGAAGCATTCCTTGAACCTCAATATATAGGAAACAAACAATCTTCAGTGATCAATACTTCTCTTTTGATCCATTATCTATGATACCTATCATTCTAAAGACAATGTTACAATATCATCAAAAAGTTGAAAAAATGGGGCTCTATAAACAATCTAGCCAAGAAGTTTTAGCACTTATATCATGTTTCCAATACCAGTCAACTCGTCTCAGTCAAATTTTATCAGAGACCTTGTACATAGAAATCAACTCCTCGATAAAACTTTAGTGAGAGAACTCATTGACAATTAAGTCATATGATTTATAAAACTATAAACTGATCCATCAAAAAATTCAATACATGACAATAACTCTTTTTTAATCTTTTAATATTTTTGAAACTGTAGCAATTAGTGACAGTGGAATCAATCTGTCGTGGCTCAGTCTGGATTTTTCTATAGTTTTGTCGTTAGGTTTAATCAACAAAAGACTTTTCATCAAAACCCCCTTGATCGCCTTGTTACTCATTAATGGTTCAGATTTGTACAGATACCAAAACTTATTCCAAATTGGGCTTTTGTCATGTGAAAATTCTCAAAAATGGTTTGGAGCATGAATATCAACTTTTATGTCTGGCTCTAAAATCCAGTTCTGATATCCCATTCAATAATGTTAGAGGATAAGATAAGGCTGCAATTGTTGGGCTAGTGTACAGCAAGATGAATGCAGAGAAAGTCAGCGTAATACCAGTACTAGAGTCTAGAATAGCAGTAGACTTCGAGACTTGAGTTTCTATATTCATTATTCTATGACTGTATGACTGAGTCAAATTTATTAAGGAGAATTTGAAATAGAAGCCTCACCTCAGGCAGTGAGAGAGGAGACATAACTAATAACATTGAGAACATTGATTTACAATAGTTGTTGTCTGATGTCAATGACCATCCATTAGTTTCACTTTTTCATCTTGTCTAAAATTAATTGTAATGTTAACAACAGTGACATAATCAACTGCGCACAAAAGAAGAAGTTTTATTATGCCAAAACACATTTGCAATTACCTTAAAACCTGTGAAACTGAGCTCATGGCGAGGCAGAGCTCATTTAATTACCACTATTTGACGAACATGTTGAATTAAAGTTAGAAAGTTGTCAAAACAAAATGAACTATTTACAACTTCCTTCACAATTTTTATCTTCTTCCGGTTAAATGACTTCTCCCTTCAAGGGACAGAACTCATGATTGCGAATTTCTCCCACCCATTCTGAAATTTCTTTCAGCTATTTGTTTGGCCTTAAATCTATATGAATACTTAAGCTTAGAATTGTGTATTATGTTTTTCAAGTTTATATACATTTTATTGATCAATTTGATCTATAATATTGTAAATTCGTGGTCTAAGGGAAACAATCGAACCATTAAGGCATAAATTGGAGTTGCCTCCCATTAATCGCTTTTGCAGAAACAGGTTCGTTCACACAGCTGCAACGCAACTAGACCTAGCCTAATGTTTCAATCTTATTGTATTTTGAGCATAACACAAGGAAATGAAAGATAATAAGCCCCCATATAAGGAAAGTTCAATTGCATTTTTTCTCCGATGAGTTATAACCTTAAAATAACTTGAGATGCAACTCGGCTTGCATATTATGTCATTGTGCTTCCAAACTCTCTTTGCAAAAGGGTTCAGCCTAAGGAAATATTCACATATTAGAACTATATTATTGCTAAAACAGTTCACACTCCTGTTTACAGAGGCTGCACATAAAACATTTTATATATCATTTTAATAGCTGCTCCTTTTGTTTCATCGATATGTTGTTTTGATTTTGGGTTTTCTGCGTTTCAGATTGGTAGTACTTGGTTAAGTAAAAGACATTTGTTTAGGAGTTATTGTTTTATTGTTGATGTTTTGTAGCAATGTGAACAGTCAACAAGTTGACACCAACAGAGTTGAAATGATGTGAACCGTTACACAGCAACATAATATACTACATAATAATAAACTATACAAAGAAAAAAAACCATAATAATAACCTATATATAACTACCATAGAATTTTGACCATAATATAGTATTTTAACAACTATATATATGTTGAGGGCATGGAAAACCAACATGCAATCAAATTCAACCAATGACCTATATATTGGTATTTAAAATACCATATTTTGAACTAAATGATAAGCTTACCACAAGTTAATAAAGCACATATTTACATAATATTGAAAATCTAAATGCAATTAATTTATTGAGATAAATTTTAAACCTTCAAAGAGCATGAAGGTATGCATTAATACATTTGTAAATCATAGTTCATAATTCAATTTAAAATTTACACGAAAACTTTCTTTATTTAAAAAAAAAAAAAATCATGCCATCAAGGTTTTACCATTAATAATTTTATTTCAAATAAATCTAATTCTAATTTTTAAGGCCTAAATTCTCTGTTTGCATGTCAATTGGATATCTGCACGCGATGCCATGCCTTATCATTTTGTATGCTTAAACTCTGAATTAATTAGATTTTCACGAAAGATGGCTACCATGGATGGTTAGGTAAAAAATCATATTAAACAGTAAATAATAAACCATCTGAACTTATTAAGTGAGATGAAGTAAAATCAAATCATGCTTATTAATAATCATAAAATATACTTGTACATAATTGGTTGCAAAGACAACTAGTGACTAACAAATATATACAATCTAATTTCAAAACAAAGAAAAACATAGAATATCAATAATAATTTGACTATATATATACAGTTAAAAAGTTATGAATGAAAACAGTTTATCAGACATTATTAGTTTAGTTAGGATGTAAATTGTCTTCAAATAAAAGATGTTTCCTATTTTCTCATTTTAATGGTATTTCCAATATGGTTAAAATAACATTTAAACCCAATGTCAATAAGTAAGCAGTAAGTGCAGTGTTTGATGTATTTCATTTAAGCCACATATAACTACTTTGATCAAGAAAGTCATGAACATCTTAAAATCATATTTACATCTAAGACTCCAATAGTTTATAAAAATTTGATACAATCATTGTAAGTTAATAAGTATTAAATTCTAAATCAAATAAGAAAATTACCGGTAACGATTGTTTTAAATGTACAAATTAAAAGTATTAAAAAAGTGTCCCACAGTGAACAATTCTACTATGTATGAAAGAACATTTGATTTAAAAGTAAGAAAAACACAGAAAAGGATTATGCCAAGTTCAAAGCATTAAAAGCAATCACTTCACAAAAGATACAAATGTGTATTAAAAATTTTCTTAAAATAGTTAGTTTGATACCCTAACCATAATTTAGGGGGAAAAATTGGCTTCATAACACATAGTCTTTAATGAAATATTACATAAACAGCAACACAATTATAATTTTATAGAATATTTATCTCTTTTTAAAACACAAATGTGTTCAAGTTTACCATAAAACTCAACATAGACAAACACAAAGAAGACACGTCTTTTTATGATTTCACTAGTAATGAAATTTCTTTCAAAGCAAGAGAACAAATGGTTATTTAAGACTTAATTCCTCACTAAGAAATACCACTGAAATAACAGTATAAGGCTTATTACAAACAGGAATTCTATTACACTATTTCAATATAAGCCAAGTTTTCTAATGTAGAAATTATCAAAAGGGATAATTCACCCCTTTCAAGTCAAAATGTATCCTACTTTACATGATATCAGTTGCCATATTGTGTCCATATTTTATGCCATTTATATGAGAAGAATTAATTCCAATAGATAAAGTCTATTAATATCAGTCTTCTTTAACACTAATTTCAATTAGTAATAAGAATAGACAATAAGTTTATAAAATAACATTTTAACAATGAAAACTATAACAATTCAGCAATAAAAACTGAAAACTAACAAGAAAATTTATTCCATGTGCGTGAGTTTCTACTATTTCACTATATTTTTCACCATTTAAAACTTTAAAATAACGAATGAAATTTAATTTTTTTTATGTGGCACAAAGTCTTTTCTTCCGCCATCACTGAAATATCTCACTGGCTACGTTTGAGGGCTGGGGTTCTCCAACATCTCCATTAAAAATGTATCAAGAGGAGTATCTCCTGTTAACTTGAAGAAAAATAAATGTTCCAGACATTTGAGTCCTATACTTCGCAATGCAGGTAAGCGTAGAAGTAATTTGGCAAATCGACCAGGTTCATCAGGATAGCGTGTTTTACAATACTCTTCTAATGACGCGTAGACTTTCTCTCTAAGTTGTTCTACTTCTTGTACTGCTGTTAATCCTTTAGCATCTACAATATAAACAATGCTTATAAATAAATAAATCTTCACATTCCTAGTAATAATTGTTCTAATATACATACACGTAAGTTTATATTCTACTTTAACACTGTAAAAGCACTAAACCTTATTTTGTATCATATAAATATAATTGTATTCCTCGGTACGCATATGTGTTTTCTGGTCAATTACATTGACACATCTACTCAATTTGTATTGACACATCTACTCAATTTGTATTGACACATCTACTCAATTTGTATTGACACATCTACTCAATTTGTATTGACACATCTACTCAATTTGTATACAAAATTTGCAAGTATGTAATTTCAGAAAAAAAGAAGACATAGCTAGTGAGTGATACAGTTTATGAGATAAAATTACCAGAAATCATAATAGGTATAACAAATAATGAAGCTGACATTGTGGAAATATAAAATTATAATACTATATAAACTATATAATACATACCAGGGTTAAAAAGAACAATGGCCCTCAAACATCCCAATTCAGTTTTATCCATTTTCATTTCTCTCATCTTAGCAACCAGTTCTGTTAAAACTCTATCAAAGATTGTTCCAACTCCAGCATCCCTGGCGCTACTACGATGTACATGTAGTCCGGTTGATAATAGTATACCATCTTTAACAGCAATAGAACGATGAGAAAAACCAGCTATCAGTAGTTCATTCCAACCTAAAATATACAAATCAAATAAAATTTCTATAACAAATGTCTGTTTAATGAAATCCCTAAAACAACTCTTAAAAATAGTTTCAGCAAAGTGGTCAAAGAGACTATGTTTAAGATTTCAAAATCAAGGATTCTTGCATAAGGCATCTCTGTATAAAAAATGTAAATACCTGCTCTAAGTTGAATAACCTGGTCTTCTAGAGGTAATTCGGTGAAATGGGGAATACGTTTTGCCCAATCAACCAATGTAAATAACTGTTTGTCTGCTGCATGACATATTCTAGCAACAGGATCATTCTGAAACAATATAATATTGAAACATTGCAATAAACCTGTAATCCAATATAGTGACAACACATTATAAATTTACATCAATGTAGTTTGAGTAAAACTGTTAAGAAGATGAAATGATAATAAAGTCTTTTAAATATTTGAATATGAAACTCACTCTAGTATCAATATAAGTATCTATTTTTGGTTCAACAGTTAATTCCGCCTCCAATATTTGTTCAACTGGCATATCATTGTTAACACTGCTAGTACTTTCAACTTCTTCTCCTTTCTCCTTCGTTCGTTGTCTTTCTTCCTGGACAGCTGTGGGAAGCACGGCTTCAACGTTAAATCAATGGCAAATCATGAGATAAAAAGCAGAAACTTGGCCATGCCATGTTTAACATTTAAACTAGGAGCTTGTGCATTCATATAGCATATATACTTTTAGAATGATAGAGAATGGACAGAAGATGGAACTTTGAGATTTCTGATACAAACATTCATTTCATGAGAATAAATCGAAACCTCAAAGTTCTTTTTAACTATTAAGTAATCTATAGGAATTTAAGGGGGAGGGTATTCTAATATGACAAGACTGTTTTAAGTATCAAAGATTTGTCAACCAAATATTATATTTGTTACTAAATCAAAGTTAATAAAAAGATACTTTTCATTTATTTCAATCAAAAGATAAATCTCTGATACTTGTATTCAAACATGGGATGACCAAAAGCAAAAAAAAAAAAAAAAGAAAAATAAATTATAACTGCAAAAAGAACTGAAGAAAACATGTTAATAATAATTCAATTTAAGATAGAAAAGATAGAGAAGGGTCAAATATGCAGAAAGAAAGAGATAGAAAAGGGATGTAAATAAATGTTTGCCTGTTCTGAAAAATATATACATGATACCATTTTGAAAAGTTGACAAGAGAAAAACAAATAAAAACTGGCAAAGCTTTTTCAATGTAAGTTTGTAAAAATATTTTTGAAATGCAAATGCTCTTTTCTATCCAAATTAATAACGTGAACAGTGAACCATTAACAAATAGATACCCACACTCAGGTGATTCTGAATAACGTGCCCTCTTGGCGTTAGGTGGTGACAACGAGGGTGATTTCATGGTTTCTAATAGAAGAAAGAAGTAATATAGATATTTGTTCAAATGTTCTGGCAAATGTTTATAGTAACACTGTCACATTTGATCTTATTTTGAAGTGAAATTTACACTCTCTTTATGCTCAAAATTTATCTCAGGCAATTTGAAATTTTTTGGCTTCAGGGTCTCTTGCAGCCCCACTCACCCCTAAAGGGCATTTTTCCCTGCGAGTCTTGCCTCGTCTAAGCAAGACAGATCTCATTTTTGCTCCCCTCACCCAATGCATTTTCTAGATACGTCCTTGTATGGTAACATAAATATGTACTGTATGTATGATTGTGATGATTAATTATATGATGTCAAACTTGATAAATACTAATCTTTATAGTACTTTATGATCAATTGCTTGTAAAGTCCATGAAATTATTCATGTATGGTCTTTTAAACGATTAACATGATTGTGAACCACAAAACATTTCAATTGAATGTTAACTGAGCACTGTAACAGATGGTACATAATATTGTGTATTAATATTGAATTATGACCAAGCTATTAGTTATAAATGGGTATGGTATGCAAATAGATTCAAGATTTTGGGGAAGAAATAAAAAGGAGTGAAAAAGCAAAGAAGCAGAAATATAAAATATCATTCAAAGCATTCAAATGTGCTCAAACTAAATAAATAGATCTATTTAAGCATTAAAAAGCATCATAATTATATTCAAGTAAGCTTATAAATCAATATATGTAATAAATTTAATTGATTTAAGTTAATAATTTGAAAATATAGAAAATTTGTAAATTTATTAATGACTTCAATAAATTGATTTTAAATATAACGAAATATATAATCACCTTCTCTCTTCATGCCCATAGCTAGACATTTCATATATCTACAATACTGACAACGATTACGTTGTCGTTTATCAATGTAGCAGTTTTTATCATCTCGACATGCGTAGGTCAATTCTTTTCTCACTGTACGCTTAAAAAAGCCTTTACACCCTTCACAGCTGAAATGAAATACAAAATTATCATACTTTTGGCCATTGTATTACGAATATGGGTTTTACGGATCTTATCAACCTGAATTAAACTAAATCCACTATACTTTGTTTTGTGGGCTTTGAAATGAGATTGGTGCTATTTGAATCTGACCAATCAGATTGGTAGAACGGAAATGAGGTCATGTAAACAAAACACAACATCACTTTGCTGCCGCCCGTTTGAAAAGATAAGAACACATCCTTTCCAAGTAAATATTCCAAAGTAAAGGTTGGATTTTCTCTTGGATTCAATACTTTATCGAAAATCTTACCAAATTTTGTATCGTACAGTACATATTTATCAAAATATGTAATGGCATGCTTGTCTTGTTTTGTTTACGATCGCAAACATCAAAATGAGCGATTGGTTTTCATTGGCTAAAATTCTACTACCAATACAGAAGGACCAATTTTGTTTGGACAAGATGACTTTTTCCAACATAATTCTCATTCATACAACTACAGATCTTTATACCAAAGAGTAATTATAATCTAAATGAACTTTATTTGGAAATTAAGCTAAAGTGTTGTAAAGGGCAACATGGAAGACATCTTCAAAGTAAGAGCCTGGGTTTTTCATATTAAGCCTTATCCAAGAGGAAAAGAGTCACCCAATCTGAAAAAAAATTGGCTGATCATCACCTACATTCATAGACAACATCCTTGCCTTATAATGAACATATGCTTAAAAAAACTTAAATCATAGATGTGTCACAAGCACAGAGACAGAGTGTCAGATGGAATGTCCCATGACAATATAGGCAAGCTCATATTGTTGCCCTAGTAGCAAATAGTCCATAACAAAAAAAAGTACAAACCTGTAAACACCATAATGTTTTCCTGATGCTCGATCTCCACATATGGCACAAATATGTTTATTAGATAATGTTGTGTGAGGCTGCATCCCTGTGGGAGACGGACAGCCAAGTGACATTAGGGGAGGAGACCCCATTGAAGAAGTAGGTGAATGAAGAGGTGGGGAATGCATTTGAGGGGGGCCTGGTGAATGCTGAGTTGATGATGGTAATTGATGTAGATGATTATAACCAAAGTATGGATGGGTACTTGTAGGAGATCCGAGAGCTGAAATATCTGGTTTTATATCTGGTGGAGGCCCATGCATGTTCATCCCCATTGAGTTTGGTGTGTGCATTCCATGCATGCTGCCGTTAACATGCACATTCCCATCTAGTGTATCTGAAATTAAAAGATACAACAAATTAAGCTTTAAAATAAGAATTATTCTAGAAATCTAGATAAAATTGAAAAGTGAAATTATAAATCATTATCACCTGGTAAGTAATAAATCATCATATAATATACTAAAGTTCAGGTTAGGCTAAATGAACTTGTCAGCTAGTCTATAATTATTCTTATCAACCATAATATTTAAGTTATTGGAGTGAACAGAAACAAATGATTTTATTTTCAAGGAAATTGGAAAAGCTTTAAGATACATATGTTTGTGGGAAGATGTGATCCCACACAAACTGTGAATCTATGGATGAAAATACTTTTGAATCAAGGGCAGCTTTATTGTTGTTTCCTTGAGGACATGGTAAGAACATGTTCTACAAGCAGAAATGAAATGTATTGAAAGGTTATGTTTGAGGGAAAGATTGTAGAACATTAACCTTTTTAAGTCTATAACAGAGTGTGTCCTAAAGCAAGAATTAGACCAGACATAGAATATAGCAGTATGTTAATAGTATCTTAAGGCTGCTTCAATCGTACCTTTTTAGAAATCAATACATTTTGGTCATCGACCTATTACATATGATGACTTTTGCAAATTACATAAGCTTTTATCACAATTGTGCACCAATGTCTCTTCTAAAAATAAATTGACAATCAATATATCAATGTAAAAGTTCCTCCAGTCACACTGCATTGATATCTTTTAATATCTTATAAGCTTACATGTACCATAAACCTAGAACCCTTCATCTTATTTAATTTGCACTGTATATTTCGTGAAAAAGATGCAATCATAATTAAGCTTATGTCGTCGATAGTAGTGAAAAATCAAAGGTATTCTTCCTACATAGATAGAGCTTCCAGTGAGCAATGTCTAAAATAGAGGTTTGATCAGACAAATTTCAAGCCTATGCATACTGAGTTAACTGAATATCGATGCCAGTAGTAGTTGAAATTGTCGGGACTCTCAGTAGATAAGCATTTAGAAAAGCATGATATTCTGGAAATGTGAATAATTAGTAAAGAATATTCATACATTGAAACACTAAGCTAAATATTTAATGAACAGTTAAATGAGAAAATTAATTCTCAAAATATACACTTGGAATATATTCATAGTGACACTAATAGTAATAGACTATAAACTTTTCTTGTGGCTACTATATTGTACATAGTTTAAGTTATATACATATTAAACTAGAGCAGTAGAACAGGGTCAAGCTTTCTTCAATACCCCACTATAACCTATAAAGCTGCAACAATGTATTAATGTATGTAGGCCTACTACTGTATAAACCATAATATCCACTACGCAGTCGTTTCTAACAACTTAATGCGTCTCTTTTTTAATAACACCATATCAAAAGAAAAGCAAATAATTCACAAAATAATGATGTCAACTTAATGATGATCATAACATTACAGGTGTTTAGGTGCTTCAACCAAAGAGTAATTTAGTGCACGAACTCTTTTGACTCCAAGATGGCCGACCGCAAATTCACCAGATGGTCGTTGGCTTCATATAATCAAATTCACCAGTTTCATTCCAATTTTTCTAGATATTTTTAAAGAAAATACTTAAACTTACCCATCTCTGAACGATCCATATTGGCCCTTGGCTCAAATGAACGTCCAAAGAGGACTTTTAATGTCTTATTTCACCTTTAAGATTCACAAAATGTCGGGACTCAATTTACCACATTCTCAACGGGACACAATTACTTCCCATAATTCATTTCGTTCAATCCAGACAGCCCGTTATCTCGATCTATTTTTAACTCATAACAATCAGTTTGAAAATCCAATTTTCGGAAAATTACAAGCAGTGTAACAATTTCATTCAACCTTATGTGAAACAGAGTATGAACCCGAGGTCCTAAGGTCTCCAATGAAAGGATATTTCAAGAAAATATCTTTAAATTTAAACAAGATGCGCGAAGAGTTGAAGCGAAGTGAAAGGTCAAAAGTTCAAGGTTGAGACGAGGTGACGTAAAAAGATAATTACTGCAAAGTTCATACTGACCCAAGCAATAATTACTTTACACATATTATTTACACCATTGAGAATACTTCCACACGATTTTTAAACCTACCACTTTCACACCGATTTCATATTTGGATTATTGAATATTATGATGAGGTGTTACAAACAAAATCATAATCTGTTGTTGCACGACTTATATTAGTCTAAATAGCAATGTATAGCTATTAGCCCTAGCTAGAGGTCCTATAGAAATTGGTCTTCTACGCCTAGTAGTTTTGTAAATAATATGCTCCCTAGCTAAAGATCTTTGGCCTAATATAGTATAGGCCCATGCTTCTGAAATGTCATCGTGATTCTTGATAGTTCCAAGATGATAGGCCCCAAAGTAGGCATACTTTTAGTTCTAGGAATATGCCAAATAGCCAAACTCTCACTGTTCTAATACGGTAAAGAGCAATGGATTTGAATCAAGTTCTATGCCCACTAAACTTCAAAGCCTAGTCAAAGTAGATCACAGAAGATTTTCTATGATAGCAGAAAATATTTCCTTACAAAGCTTCAATTTAATGACACAAGTGTCATGCGTGAGGTTGGTAGGCCAAAACAGCGTAGGAGGCCTACAGGCTACATCATGGATGACTAGCCTACACTAATACGCATAGAGAGGAAAATTTTATAGCCGCTCCTATTAGGAAGCTTTATAACCAGGTGTTCAATTAGGCATTTTATCTGTTTGTGGGGTTAAGATTAGATTTTAGCTGTATAGTTAGTTAAAATGGAGGATTTCTATAATAGGAATGTTATCGACGTGTTATTGATGTTTATCTTCAGATTAAAGGTTTCATACAATTTCTTTCTTTCTAGCCAAAACATGGGCTATAAACAACATGACAACTTCGCCCTATATCTTACTTCAACAAGAAGATCACTAGTTGAAATCCCCACTTCTATCTTCCATACAAACAGTGCAGGCTTATAGTCCCAGTATAGGCCCTATAATATATAAATTTTTTAGCCAACTTTTTTTATGAGCATATAATCAAATGCTTATATGCTCATGAGACAAACATAAAATTTTGATTAATAGCCCTGAATGATTTTTATAGGCCTTCATGTAAATCCTAGCCTATAATATAGGCTTCGGTTTCGCTCCACAGTAGGCTACATAATCAGTAATGAAAAACAGCAGTTATCTCGTTCAAATATTTTCAAAAGGGCATCTTAAAGGTCAAACACGTACTTTACCTATATATAAAATATATTTAGAGCGCACCGTTATTCACAACTTGACCTAGTTTTTTTATTATCTACTATCTTTATCTTTTAGAGTTGAATTCTTATACTCACTATGCCATGACGATATAGGTAGAAAGGTATATTATGTTCTCTTTAGCCTTTCATTCATCGCAGATTAAAACTATTTGCAAGGCTCAATGAGTGTATGAATGTGTTGCATGATAAACTTTAGACCATTTGAAGGGGCTAGGTTAATTATCGACAATTATAAATGTATATATCTTTTCAGAGGAGTGCACATATTGATTTCACAGACAACCTTAAGAACTTTACTAGCTGATATTTTTGACGAGATTGACAGGGAAGTTAGTATACTTGGTAGTCAAATTTCGGACAAGGATTAGGGTCTAGGCGTAAATTAACACAAATTTTGTATTCTACCCAGTGTGGCATTTCAATGTCGATGTACCAGGCATCTTTTATGGCAATATAGACATAGAGGATACTCTTAATTTCTCTAAATTTTAAAATAATAAGATTAGTTGCCAAGTTGCCTATTCCACAGTAACGTTTCTATAAATTTATAGTGGAGCGGAAGGGGGAGGGGGTCAATGTTTTTCCCCGCTCCTTCCCCACCCTCGTAGAAACATCACTGCCGACCCCACGATGGTTTCTTGGTGATGGTTTCTTGATGTGCTTTTATGACTATTGCACCAGTTCATGGACAGAATATACCCTGGTAATAATAGTTTAGCTATCAGGAACCAAAACCATCTCAATGATTTTTCAGTAGGCCTACCTAGAATTGTCAACTTCTGACCATTATCACGGTAACTTCCCGGTATAATGGCCTGAATTTGTGACATAGATACAGTTAATAGGTCATATATCGTGCTATATTAGAGTATATGACCACGTGAATCGAAAATTTGCCAGCGTATTGATTGATTTCAACACTCTACAGTATAAATACAATTTACAATCTGAGCCCCGAGTTGTCAACTATAATCAAACTCGATTATCTAATTCATAAAAAGTAATGCCACAAGAAATAAAAAAAAAGAATAATGTAAATATGTCATACATTATCTACAACCACCATGTTGATCACAAATGCCGGTCCATTTCTCTTTGAATTGGTTTACCTTTTACCCTAATAATGCCTCCAGCAAATGCAAAAGTCGCCTTCGGAAAGAGTCGTGTATAGGATTAAGTGACATCACAAATCTATATCTTTAAAGAGTCCAAGTAAACCGAACTAAGTTATATTTTATCACTGGGAATAAAAAACAAACTTTAAGAAACCTTTCGAATCCTAAAAGTTATGTAAAAGAATGAATTTTGAACACCTTTGACGTTCAACCATAGGCCTCTTACAACTGAATCCCCCGTGACTGCATCAAATCAATATATGAACATTTTTGTGTTGATTATGACAAAAGTTGTTGCCTATTTAAAAGCGCTCAACTTTCAAAATGGAGTAGTTTAGTGTGAAACGTGAACAGACGAGATAAGATGGAAGACCAACAACTACCTTGTTCATGAAGATCAGATTGCCAAATCACCTGCGG